TATTGGAACACCCCCGCAAGCAGGTGCTGCTGGCTATGGAAGCCTGCCTGCCAAATGTCTGGGATGTAAAGAGTGGGTGGGGCTGAAGCATTACATTCTGCCATGGACAGGATTTGATCTACTCCTCTGGAGTAAAACTGTGCAAGTAGGAATGCCTTGAAGGGACTACTGTCAGAATACTCCTGAACTGGAAGGAACACCCTGGTCTGAGTTGGTCCAGGACAAGACCCAGATACTCCACATGATGAGTCTTTTCCAGTGATGATTTTTGAAGGGTCAGAATCCATTTGAAGTGCTATAATGTTTACTAAACAAAAGTAATGTTGTCTTCTAAGTATCCCACAATGGGAATACCACAAGAGCACAACAGGGCAAAGTGCAGGGGCCAGTATTTGGAAGGAGTAAACAGCTTGTCGGGTTGTTTCCATTTTGGTAGAGAAAGAGAGTTGGAACAGCGAGTGTAATGGAAGGTCTTTGCAGCCTTAGGAATTAAGACTGGAATTGGAAGCAACAGGCTAATCATCCAGAGTCACTGTAGGTAGGCAGCAGAAACTGAATGAAGATTGGAGTTCCATGTGGTTCTTTGGAAGCAGGAGCAGCAGCGGGGCAGTGCTTCCTAAACTCTGTATGACGGAAAGAGTGTGTATTGGGTGACAATCACCCAGTGAATGACATGAGCACTCAGTCCTGGACCTGGAAAGTGCTTTGTGGCTAACTTGTTATCAGAAGAGTCTGTAAAATGCCTTATGTGGAACTCTGTGGCCGAAGATCACTTCTGGGCTAAAATTCTTGACAAAAAAAAATCTGCTAGCAAAAATAGGTTTGTTTTTTCTTTTCCAGTGTCTAATCCTCCCTCCTGTAGGTGGCAGTATAAAGTGAAGGTGAAAGACATCCTGTGTCCCTTAACAAGACAAGAAAAAAAATCAATATGAAACCAACAAGGACCATGTATTCATGATATCAATTCTATCGTCTTGGAGCTGACCCAATAGATGTTGTCAAGCGTGTGTGTCAAGCTGGAGATGGGGTCTGACTCAAAGGGAACAGCAGCTGTACTCCTTTTTGAGTTTGGTGCATGTATCCATTTCTAATACCTACCTCTGTAGACATTAAACACCAGCACTAAGCATCTGGGCAATGGCATCTACTAATTGCAGATGTTGGGTTAGAAAAGGAAGTTATATAATTTTTATATATAAAGGATTGCAAAATGTTCTGTTCTATACTTCACTCTCCTTGAATTTAGGTCACATAGTCATGTTGGGGGGAAAAAAGGCAAAATTCCATCAAGTTTAACAAACAAAAACATTAAAAAGCCTCTATGTACAAAGCCCTATACATACCCACATTTGATGCAGCCAAATTCTTACAAAGCACGGTCCAATTTGCTCCAACAGAGAAATAAAAATCCTGCTGATCCCCTAAGGCAATTGGATATTTCCTCGAGCAACAGACTTTGGTGTTTTACTTATCAATGTTAAAAGCCCGTTTATATTTTGTGCATTTAGGAATGCACTCCATTAAGAACCACTTGAGCTGGCTACAATTAGGTCCTACGGTAGTCTATTCCACATTGCCACAGCTCTCACTGTGACAAAGCCTTTTTGTTTGTGGAGGCTAAACCTTCTTTCCTCCAGACACAAAGAGTGACCCTTGTCTTTTGCAATGACCTTAAAGTGAGGTGACTGCGCCGACCAATGAGAGCTCGCCCATTTGCGAGTGAAATTTAAAATCCAGAGTGCAGGGCTGCGCTACACAGCAGTACAGGGCTACGGATAGTAAACTGGTACCAGCAGAGGGGAAGGAGCGTTCGCCCAAAGGTTAGTATAGAGGGGGTAATTCCATTTTCCCAAATTCACCTGGGAAAGTAGAATTACCCTTTTAAATTTGTAGCATGATGGCAAGCAATGCAACTACAAGCTATGTGCAAACGCAACATTCATTTTACTGCACCACTTATATAGTTGTCAATATTTAGGTTAAAAGCATACAGATTTCTTTCAAATGCCTTCCTCTCCTTTACATTTTGAGTTGTTTATGGTATATAGAGCCGTTGTCATATTTCTTGCAGTATGATTAAACATGGTTACTGCCTGCAGCACAGATTTTGGTATTATGACAGTAAATGAATTTATATGTTGCATTGCATTAGTTCCACCATGGTTTTTTTAAGGATATTGGCTTGCATGTAATAACTTGTTTCCATTGACTTTACACACCTGAACCCCTGCAGAAAGCTTGTGCCGTAGCACAATGTTGGGTATATGCACTTGTTTGTATGTGACCAATGTATGTTGCTCAGATGTTTCACAAGCCCTCACATGGCCTGACACCCTCTGGACTTAAGCTTGCTGTAAATTAGCAAAGCAACTGTGATTTATTCTTGGAATGGGTGTGGTATCTGCAGCGGAAGTAGTTATATTTTTCTGTCTGGAGGATTTCTTGCTGGGTAATCCTGCCACTAACAGCACTTCCTGTTGCAGAATGATACCGAGGTCCCCCTCTCAATTAGTCGTGTGGTCACCCTGCCATGTGAGCTCCTTCAGTTGGATCTTATCAGGCTGCCAATCTAAAATGACTAATTGGAAATGTGGCTTAGGCAGAGTTCACACCTAGGTAGCATTGTTTGTGCGCGTGTTCAGCATGTGGTTTTTTGCACGGTTTGCACATTTTGATGCAGGCTTGTACACGCATACATGAAGATGTGCGTTTTGACAGGAAGCTTATGAAACATTGCAGGCAATGGATGAACATGCATAGAAACACACGAAAATGTGCAACATACATCTGCCGTGCATATTCGGGAGTTTCCATTAAAGTCTATAGGGCAGAAACGTGCTCCTAACTGCCCAAAGAAGCTCCTGTACCTTTTCGGGGTGTTTGCTGTTTTGCTCGGGTATGAACAAGGGCCATTGAAAATCATGGGATTTCCTCTTTCGGGCATTTAAAAGTGCTTTTCCAACTGCTCAAAACCACCTAGGTGTGAACCAGGCCTTAGTGTTGTCAGCCTGCAACAGGAAGTGCAGGATCTCCAGGTCACAAACTCACCTAAAGCAATTTGCTTATAAAAATGGTATACAGTGAGACATGATGCTATTCATACTAGAAAGTCGATTTGGGTTCACTTACTTACTTACTTAAACATGCATTGATGTGTGTTGAAGAACATCATTTGCTGCACTTATTTTGGAGACACAAAAAAAATGAATCGGGCCAGTGTGCTCCCTTCACTCACCTGAACACCTTACTAGCCTCACTGCTTTATGCACCAATACGGTGCTTCACCATGTGGACAGAGACTGATCCACTGAGGCGGATTTTCTAAACGCGATGAGACTCTTCCTTCACACTGAGTGAATATTTTCTCCAGTTTCCAATCATGTGAAAAGCATATTGCTGTTTGTTTACTCTGAATAGCCAAAAAGGCCGGAGCTCTAGAGCCATGCTAGTGCAGAAGCCTTGGCATTTATTCACTGAACTGAACCAAGAAGTAAGAGACACACATTGTGGATGACGTGGTAAACTTCCAGCCCATGGAGAGAAACATAATAAGACATAACTGCAAAATGTATACATTGAGAAAAGAAAAAAAACAGACACTTACTGGTACATCAAGAAACTGGACATGTTTATTAAGTAACCTAACCACTTAAATTAAAAAAAAGTGCATAGAAAAAAAGCAAACTCCTCTCTGTATTTTACAAATATTTACACTTTACATTCACACAACCTGACAAATCTCTATTTCTTGCAGGTGTCTGTCCGAGCGGACGCTTTTTTTTAAACGTTCATATTTTTTAAATAACACTGATAAAACAACACTTTCCTTTTTCTGAGTTTTTTTTTTCCATAAAAATGAAGAAAAAGGAAACCAATCTGGAAGAGCAGCAGAAATAGGATGGAAAGATTTACATAGAATGGCAGTTGTAGGTCACAAGTGAGTGGAGACAGTTTCTTCTAAGGTGAGAAAGATCTGCGTTATACCTGTTATAAGGTGTTACTAACATGACTAAGCGGAATAATGTCAGACATCAAGAACAACAGTTTTATTTGATTTAGACCTTAAATGCAGAGAGGCTAGCGTCCTAAAGACATTAGAAATATATATTCTAACAGAAAAATAAAATCTTAT